AGTCGTGAAATTTCCTCGCTCCTAAATATTCCACAGTCAACTGTCAGCTGTATTATAAGAAAATGGAAGTGTTTGGGAACGACAGCAACTCAGCCACGAAGTGGTAGGCCACGTAAACTGACGGAGCGGGGTCAGCGGATGCTGACGCGCATAGTGCGAAGAGGTCGCCAACTTTCTGCAGAGTCAATCACTACAGACCTCCAAACTTCATGTGGCCTTCAGATTAGCTCAAGAACAGTGCGCAGAGAGCTTCATGGAATGGGTTTCCATGGTCGAGCAGCTGCATCCAAGCCATACATCACCAAGTGCAATGCAAAGCGTCGGATGCGGTGGTGTAAAGCACGCCGCCACTGGACTCTAGAGCAGTGGAGACGCGTTCTCTGGAGTGACGAATCGCGCTTCTCCATCTGGCAATCTGATGGACGGGTCTGGGTTTGGCGGTTGCCAGGAGAACGGTACTTGTCTGACTGCATTGTGCCAAGTGTAAAGTTTGGTGGAGGGGGGATTATGGTGTGAGGTTGTTTTTCAGGAGCTGGGCTTGGCCCCTTAGTTCCAGTGAAAGGAACTCTGAATGCTTCAGCATACCAAGACATTTTGGACAATTCCATGCTCCCAACTTTGTGGGAACAGTTTGGAGCTGGCCCCTTCCTCTTCCAACATGACTGTGCACCAGTGCACAAAGCAAGGTCCATAAAGACATGGATGACAGAGTCTGGTGTGGATGAACTTGACTGGCCTGCACAGAGTCCTGACCTCAACCCGATAGAACACCTTTGGGATGAATTAGAGCGGAGACTGAGAGCCAGGCCTTCTCGTCCAACATCAGTGTGCGACCTCACAAATGCGCTTCTGGAAGAATGGTCAAAAATTCCCATAAACACACTCCTAAACCTTGTGGACAGCCTTCCCAGAAGAGTTGAAGCTGTTCTAGCTGCAAAGGGTGGACCGACGTCATATTGAACCCTATGGATTAGGAACGGGATGTCACTTAAGCTCATATGTGAGTCAAGGCAGGTGAGCAAATACTTTTGGCAATATAGTGTATATATATATACACACTATATTGCCAAAAGTATTTGCTCACCCATCCAAATTATTGGAATCAGGTGTTCCAATCACTTTCATGGCCACAGGTGTATAAATTCAAGCACCTAGGCATGCAGACTGTTTTTACAAACATTTGTGAAAGAATGGGTCGCTCTCAGGAGCTCAGTGAATTCCAGCGTGGAACTGTGATAGGATGCCACCTGTGCAACAAATCCAGTCGTGAAATTTCCTCGCTCCTAAATATTCCACAGTCAACTGTCAGCTGTATTATAAGAAAATGGAAGTGTTTGGGAACGACAGCAACTCAGCCACGAAGTGGTAGGCCACGTAAACTGACGGAGCGGGGTCAGCGGATGCTGACGCGCATAGTGCGAAGAGGTCGCCAACTTTCTGCAGAGTCAATCACTACAGACCTCCAAACTTCATGTGGCCTTCAGATTAGCTCAAGAACAGTGCGCAGAGAGCTTCATGGAATGGGTTTCCATGGTCGAGCAGCTGCATCCAAGCCATACATCACCAAGTGCAATGCAAAGCGTCGGATGCGGTGGTGTAAAGCACGCCGCCACTGGACTCTAGAGCAGTGGAGACGCGTTCTCTGGAGTGACGAATCGCGCTTCTCCATCTGGCAATCTGATGGACGGGTCTGGGTTTGGCGGTTGCCAGGAGAACGGTACTTGTCTGACTGCATTGTGCCAAGTGTAAAGTTTGGTGGAGGGGGGATTATGGTGTGGGGTTGTTTTTCAGGAGCTGGGCTTGGCCCCTTAGTTCCAGTGAAAGGAACTCTGAATGCTTCAGCATACCAAGACATTTTGCACAATTCCATGCTCCCAACTTTGTGGGAACAGTTTGGAGCTGGCCCCTTCCTCTTCCAACATGACTGTGCACCAGTGCACAAAGCAAGGTCCATAAAGACATGGATGACAGAGTCTGGTGTGGATGAACTTGACTGGCCTGCACAGAGTCCTGACCTCAACCCGATAGAACACCTTTGGGATGAATTAGAGCGGAGACTGAGAGCCAGGCCTTCTCGTCCAACATCAGTGTGCGACCTCACAAATGCGCTTCTGGAAGAATGGTCAAAAATTCCCATAAACACACTCCTAAACCTTGTGGACAGCCTTCCCAGAAGAGTTGAAGCTGTTCTAGCTGCAAAGGGTGGACCGACGTCATATTGAACCCTATGGATTAGGAACGGGATGTCACTTAAGCTCATATGTGAGTCAAGGCAGGTGAGCAAATACTTTTGGCAATATAGTGTAACTCTACAACTGTATGGCAACAAAGCATTTCTTCTTTTTTCAACTTCCTCCCTTAAACAAAGATTTATAGAGAAATGTTAAGACTTGAAGTGATGGCTGTTCGAGTGCAGAGAAAAACCTGAGAAACAGAAGTAAAAATGAGAAGTTAAACCTTAAGGTTTTTTAGTTCCGCAGGAGATTTTTATTGAGAACAGGCACTGATGCCCTTATATGGTAAAGGATAAATATGTGTATTTTCCAGGTTCTCTTTGGTATTTTCAGATTTTGTGATCTATCATTTTTAAAGGCAGCTGTGCTATGAAAATTGATCGGCTATTCTCATATTTAGTTAATGGCTCTTAGCACTGTGTTAAAACACCCTTCATGAGATGACTTTATGCAGTGGTGAGAAAGAGCTGACTTCCTCTTTACAAACCATGAAGGATGGAGACTCCTTTAAATAACACATCTGGTAACAGAGAAGGCTGCTGTTTATTCTGCTGCTGATCAACTGATCAGAACAGATCAACTGGTTTGAAAGCTAAACAGTTTTTTGCTTACTGAAGAAATTCTGGTGAGTTCACATGGCTGACTCTGATTATTTAACCAAATATTTCAACAGGCTTTTTCATTTTTAAGTTTAAAGATTTACAGCACATTGAAAGCTGCTTGCTATGAGCTGAAGGTCTAATTTCAGAACCACTGTAATAAATTAGCTAAATGTTTGGTTTCCAGAGTCTGAATCTAATGGCAGCTCTGTCTGAGAACCTGCTGACAGTCAACATGTTAATGAGTGTCTTCTTTCTTCCAGGTGAGCTGATTGTTCACTTCCTTTTTTTAGACATATTAGACCCTGATGTTGTTTAAAGGCTTCACATGTTACATGCAGATGGAGTTGAGTTTGTGGATCATGAAGATTCTAATTAGGCAGATTTTTCTCCACATCATGTTCATCATTTGTCTATTTTTACAGCTACTTTGGCTGATTGTGGTGGTAGAAAACCAGCCCTCAGAATCACTACACCAAAGAAGATTGAAGCTCTGAATGGATCTTGTTTGGAAATCCCATGTATCTATGATACAGATGATACCAGATATAACAGCAGCAGAACTATCTATGGAGTTTGGATAAAAGGTGGTACCAATTTTGCCTCTGATGCAAAGATAGTTATTTTCAACAGCAGTGGGTCAGTTAACACCTATTCACTGAATATTACTGGAAACCTGAGAGAGAGAAACTGCACCACTCTGTTTCCTGATGTAAAGACCAGTTATGCAGACAGATACTTCTTCAGGATTGAGAGCGAGCCGTTCAAAGCAACAGCTTGTGGTGACCCTCTCAGTATAACAGTTAAAGGTAAGAGAGCGTCAATATTTAAGTCTTATATTAATGTTTAGTAAAATTAAGTAATCTACTGTTTTTGTTTTAAATGTATTTATGCATTTCTGTTTGGAATAATGCTTATTGCTTCTGTTGTGTATCTTACGGTAGCTGTAATAGTAGAAACATTAGCTGGGCAAACAGTTTAGACAGACGGTTGTTTAGTTTCCCTGTTTTAAAAATAAAAACTTTATATATTAATGATCACATCATACACAGTCAATGTGGGATTTAATTATGTTAATGCTGTTTAATTATTGATAGAATGGAATTATGGTTTTAGCTTTTTGCGTTACAGCATTTTGTGATGAAGGTATGGAAAAGTGCTAAATAACTAGGTTTGCGTAGTTTTAGTCAACATTCAAGAAATTGGATCAAACAACTATTTTCTTTCCTAATCTTCTGCTTTCTGTACTACACTAAGCATTATTCCATGAGAATGACAGACTTTACAAATTAAGATAATTCATTAAATATTTGAAAGTCATTTATAGAATTTTTTTTTCATTAATGCTTCATACATGATAAATTATTCTATTAGAATAATTCATATATTCTTAATATTTTTCTGTGTGAAATGTGTGTATGATCTAAACCCCAGATTCTCCTTGGAGTCCCAGCATTAATATCTCTGTTGGTGATCTGAAGGAGCATCAGTCTGTCAACATAAGCTGCTCAGCTGTGACTCCCTGTCCACACTCACCTCCTGAACTCACCTGGAATCTCCAACAAGACTCTGACAGACAAACGGAGAAAAACACAGATGGAACCTTTACAACTAAAATCCAGGAGACCATCACTCTGTCAGACACACATGATGGATACAACATCAGCTGTTCTGCCAGATATCCTGTGAATGGAGGAAGCAAGACAGCAGAGACAGAAGTGACTCTCAGTGTTTCATGTTAGTGATCCTGTCAGCACGTCATGGTTCAGCTGTTTCTGATCAATAAAGTTAATGTGTGTCCCATTTTCCTCAGATGCTCCTAAAGACACCTCAGCATCCATCAGTCCATCAGGTTTGGTGTCAGCAGGTAGCTGGGTGGAGCTGAGCTGCTCCAGCAGAGCCAAGCCTCCTGCCAGCTTCACCTGGTTCAGGAACAGCAAACATGGAGCCATTAATGTATCTGTGGGGCAGGTTTACAGCTTCACTGTTACTGAGGGAGGAGAGTATTACTGTGCGGCTACAAATAATCTGGGGACTCAGAGATCAACAGTGATTCTATTGAATACTGAAGGTGGCAAAAATCTACTTATTAATTTTTTCATATTTAAATAGAATCTTAAGTTGATGTTATTTTGTTACTGTTTAACTTTTCTTTTCTCTGATTTAGCAAAAAGTTATCTTTTCTTGGTCACAGTTGTAGTTGGAGTCTTTTTGTTCGTCTGTCTGGTTCTTTCTGTCTGGTAAGTGTCAGACATTAAAATACTGAACTAAATGTAGTAAATGATTTTGAGGTTTTTATTAACCCTCCAGATAAACATCTGAACCAGTTCCTTTTTAAGGCTGTGTTCAGCTAATTCTGGATCTGGTTGTTTTGATGTCAATCCTCTCATATCTGTTTTGGCTCATTCTAGACTCTCTCAGTTTGGATCTTTCTGTTTTCTCCTGAATCAAAGCAGATTTATTCTGACAGATCTCAAATGTCTTCCAGGTTCTTGACGACCAAATGTCCAACTCCAGATCAGACCCAGGTGAGAATATGTTCTGTGAGCATCACTGAAGTAAGTTTTCCTCTGCAAGCTGAGACAGTATTTTGCTGAACAAGAACATTTTTATTTTCCCACAGAGTCAAATATATCAGGTGGTTTCTGATCAAATTGAAGCCAATGAAACAGAGGAAGAACTTCATTATGAAGACATAGCTGTCCTCCAGAGGCGGCCTGAAGCTTCCTCTGTCTCAGTGCAGGACGATGGACAGCAGGAGACAGAGTACGCTCAGGTTAAAGTGTCTACTGACCATCCAGAGGATCTCTATGCACAAGTGAAAAAGCAATAATTTCTGTCTCTGATGTGGAATTAAATTAAGGATTTTAACTATGGAAATCTTATGAATACTTGTTAAGTTTCTTGTCACACTTTAATGACAGGAAAATCTCAAACCTCTTAGATATTCATCCCTTATGATTATCATCCTCAGATTTACAGTTTATCCACAACTTAGAATAGCTTGATGGATAATAAAAAATGATGCATGATCATGTTATTTTATTTCAGCTCTTGATGCTTTGTAAAGTTAAACTGATCTTAACTTAGCATGTTTCATATGAAGATGAAGTTATACCTTATTGTGGTTGGTGGTAGAGATTCACTGACCAGGACAGTGTTTCAGATTTCTTTGCATTTGTAAAGCTTTGAGGTTACTGCAGCAATTTTAGTTCAGTATGATTTCTCTTTAATACTTTCTTTTTATATTATTTCAACTCGGAGTACATTTAATGTCAACATTTTCTCTAATCCTTGGACAATTAGATGTATTTTCTTAATAAGAATTTCATATATAATAGAAATGCTGAAATATAATACATTTATTTGACTTTTTATGATTATCTTGTCATTTTATTACTTTTTTTCTCTACTTATGGGTCTGTTCTCTGTTTGTTCATAAGACTTCCTATTTTGAATGAAAGAGCTCGAAATAATGTCCTGCTGGTAGTTTTATTTTTTTTTTTAACATGACTTCCTCAAAGAAGACAGAAAATGATGAAACTGTTTCTAAAATGTGTAAAAAAAAAAAAAAAATTAGACAGTAATGTTAGTTAGTAACTTAGTTGATCAAAGAGGAGCAGCAGAAGAATTCATGTCAGACCCATTAACACAGGGCATAAAAGAAGAGATACAAAACTATTAAAAGGGAAATATATGAATGATCACCTACCATGAGCATTCATTTATTAATTATGTAAGGAGCAGAGATGGTGTGTGTGGGATAGCAGTTGCTGATCAATCATTAAAATAAATAAAATCACTGATTTTACACAATCTAATCATAATTAACAGCATTAGCATTTTTACATAAAATAAAATGGCAAAGCCAGTCTCTGTGAAAAAGCTTTGATCCTTTTCTCTAAAATGAAAAATATACTGTCAACCTTTCTAATTTCAATGGCAGGCAGGTAAAGCTGAAAGGGATAGAACTGAGCAGCTTGTTGTCTCTTTTTCATTAATATTTATCTCTGTATCTGGTGTCCTGAATGAACAGCTGATATAGCACAAGTATTTGGCCTAATCTTTTCAACTACACATTCACCTTCACATTTTCAGACCTCAAACATAAAATTGTAGTTCTTTGTGAGGAATGAACCACAAGTGGGACACTTCAATCTGAAAACTCACCTAAAGAAAAAAGACAATTGCCAAATTTATTGATACAATTAATTTGTCTTTGGCGCTCAGACGTCGGCAGGAGACATTAGTGCTAAATTTTGATAGATATGCATGAGCAGGTGCAAAGAATAGGGCTGTTTCCCCCCAGGCCTGAAACTGGTGGTGGAGTGAAAATAGATGAAGTTGGTTAGTCTGTAAACTGCTGGTTAGCGAGACGGTATGCTGATCTTTATGGGGAGATCCAGTGCCATGAGCTGATACTAGAGCTTCACTCAGGGATCTGGAAGATGGATGTCCAGTTGGATAACACAGGTTGAGAGAACCTGTGCATGATGAGCAAACATGAAGTGACAGTGGAGAGGAAAAACTCCACATTGGGAAGAAACCTCTGGCAGAGCCAGGCTCAACATGGTGGTCTTCTGCCAGACCAGGTAAGATGAGACAGGGAAGGCAGTAGGAGTCCGGGGGGAATGGCACTCTGATGAAGCTTTAGCTATGATGGTGGAGGAGGGGCTGGAGGTGGGTTGAAACGGTGTCATCTGAATGAAGTCACAGCACATTGCCGCCTGCACACAGGAGCGGACAGGTGCGTATCTGAGGCCTTTTAAGATGATTGTTTTATGCTGATTAGCTTTCGTTGAGGTGTGGTTCAAAGCTGATTGGCTGTGTCGCAGGTGAATGTATGAAAAGCCATGAGTTTCCTCAGTTTAAATCTGCCTAGGCTCCATAATCATGAAGTGGAACGAAATTAATTGGATATTTAAAAATGTTTTAACAAATAAAAAACCTGAAGAGTGGGGAGTGCAAACTTAATCGTCCCCTTTCTTTTCAGTGCAGCAAACACTCTCCAGGAGTTCAGTGAGGATCTCAACTCCTGGAGTTCAGAAAAAGTTCATTATATTTTTTATTATAATGAAAAAGTTCATTATATTTTTCATTCATGTACACTCAGCACCCCATCTTGACAGAAATCAACAAAAATGTAGAATCTTTCAATTGAAAAAATAAATTGAAATATCACATTGTCATAAGTATTCAGACCCTTTGCTAAGTATTCAGTTAAAGCACTCTTTGGGCTAGTACAGCCATAAGTCTTTATGGGAATGAAGCAGTAGATTTTTCACAACTGGATTTGGGGATCCTCTGCCATTCTTCCTTGTAGATCCTCTCTAGGTATTTCAGGTTGGATGGTGAGCATTGGTGGACAGCCATTTTCAGCTCTCTCCAGAGATGCTCAATTGGGTTTAGGTCAGGGTTCTGCCTGTGCCAGTCAAGAATGGTTACAGAGTTGTTCCAAAGCCACCCTTTTTTATTTTAGCTGTATGCTTAGGACCATTGTCTGGTTGGAAGGTGAACCTTCAGTCCAGTCTGAAGTCTTGAGCACTCTGGAAGAGGCTTTATTCCAGGATATCTCTGTACTTGGTGTTAGGGTTCCAGTTTGTGGTTTTTTTTTGTTCTCTTGCAGTTCCACCGTGCACCCACCAGATGGTCCCTTTGTCCTCTGCTGATCTGGAGGGCTTCCTGTTCTTCTCTCCTCACACCTGCAGCCTCTTGGGTCATCACTTCCTGAGGAGTATTTAAGGAGCAGACTGTCTTCACTTCCTCGCTAGAGTGTTTGCCAGTATTGGGTACTCTTGCCCCTCAGAGTTTGCAGAGTCTACTTTGAGTCCCAGTTTCTTCTGAGCTCTCAGCGCTAACCAAGTTTTTGTCTTTTTGAGTCTCCGGCAAGATATCACTGATCCACTGGATAAGCTAGGCCCTTCAAGTCTTGGAAGGGACTCTCTCGTCACACTGAGAAAAGGAGACAGATCTCCTCATCTGAACGCCGTCCACTTCTGGAACTTTGTGTCTGTCTGCTCAGCTGCTCCTCAGGACTGCCTGAGGAGCAGCTGTCTGCCTGTTCCGCCCTCCAATGAACAACACCATCTACAGATCAAGCCTCCACAGACAGGAACCCTGGAAACCTCCCAAACAACCACAGTGAGTCCAAGTCAAACCTTGTATACAGAAAATCAGCCAGATTTCCCACCGTCCTTGAACTCACCACTCTGATGTCCTATTAGAGCTTCTTCTTCTGGTTCACCTGACCGCTGAAACCTCCCCAAGCTGAACAACAGTTTTTTTTTTCTAGTCTCTGTACAGTTTCCCTTCAATTAAATGTTTAACTTTTTCCTGTCTCTGAGAGTGCTTCTGCATGTGGGTCAAACACATTAGACCCATTAGACCCATCATGACACTTGGCCGCATTCATCTTTCCTTCAATTGCAACTAGAGTTCCTGTCCCTGCAGCTGAAAAAAACCCCATAGCATGATGCTGCCACCACCATGTTTCACTGATAGGATTGTATTGGGCAGATGATGACCTGTGTCTGGTTTTCTCCACACATTACCACTTAGAATTAACACCAAAAAGTAAAATCTTGGTCTGATCAGAACAGAAAATCTTTCTCATAGTCTAAGACTTAGACAACTTTTATTTTAATTTTGTATACATGGAGTGTATACAAAATTAAATTTTGTTTTGTAAAGCTTTAATGACATTTCCATTCTTTAAAGTACAGCTGTGATAAACTTTGAACAATGTGGGAGAAAATAAAAACATGGGGCAAAAAAACACACTGATATGAAAGTTCAGAGCATTATGGTGCAAATATGCAGTGGTGTTGTTAGTGTGATGCAGAGTCTGTCACAAATCTAACCTTTACGGAAGACAGCCATTTCTTAAAGATATCCATAAAAAATCTTTTAAAAGTTTTCCACAAGCCACTTGGGAGACACAGCAAACGCGGGAGAAGGTGCTCTGTTCAGATGAAACCAAAATCTAACTTTTTTGCACCAACACGAAATGTTCGGTTTGTTCTAAAAGCAATGCTGCTAATAACTCTCAACACACCATCCCCACTGTTAAACATGGTGGTGGCAGCATCATGGTTTCAACCTGCTTTTCTTACTTTCACAAGGCACTGCATTCCTCATTACAGAAGTATTTCAGCTCATGTTTTTCTTTTATTTATTTATTTTTTCTTGTTCTTTGTGTTTTAGTTTTGTTAGCATGTTATTGGCCACCTAATTACTGCACAGGAGTTTTGAATATCTGTTCCAGCTTTTGTCCCAAAAAATTTTGGATAGCTTCCTGTTTTGACCTTTAATTTTATATTGTTTTCTACATTCATACTGTATTAATGCTCAGTGTGTCTCTTACTGTTTTTAAAAGTTTTTTTGTATCTGGTTCCTTGGTGCATTTATCTTTTAAGCTTGATTAATTTGACTTTATTGATCTCACAGTGGAGAAATTTACTCTACTAAGCTACTTAAGTGAGTTCCTCCATTAACAATGCAATTTCATTAAAAGCACTTACCGGTAAGTAAAGAAAAAAAAGAACATTCCTTTATTGTCTAATGTACACAAGATACAGAAGAATTAGATGATCTCAACAAGGTAACGGAGGATCAGGCATAATGGACCTTAGGGAGACAAGGAGGGCACCTAACCATAATCAAAGGATCTATTTTTTCTGTCTGTCAATCAAATAAAGGTTCAGGATCACAGCAGGAACTGTTTCTTTCTGCAGCCTGCTGGGATCTGGAGCTGTACCACCTTCCTCCAGCAGAGTGCTCCGCAGTGTTGGGCACGTTATTTTGAAAAAGTAATTAGTTATAGTTACTAGTTACTTCTGCCAAAAAGTAACTGAGTTACTAACTGAGTTACTCCACAATAAAAGTAACTAGTTACTAGTAAAAGTAACTATTGCGTTACTTTTCCGTTTCTCGCCCCTGTAACCCTCACCACCCGGCCCCCACCTTCTCGCGGTGTGTTTCCAAAGCCAGCTGAATAGAGTGGACGACAAAGACAAGAACCTGCAGAGAGTTTTGCATTTATTGCAACTCAACGTAAATGACATCAGGGGGGAACGCGATGTGAAGTTTTTTAGCAGGGCATTCAGATCTGGTGAAATTAATAACTGGGGATGTCTAATTCTGAAATCCTGTGTGTTTGGGTTGTTATAGATACTGCAACATCTATCTATCTATCTATCTATCTATCTATCTATCTATCTATCTATCTATCTATCTATCTATCTATCTATCTATCTATCTATCTATCTATCTATCTATCTATCTATCTATCTATCTATCTATCTATCTATCTATCTATCTATCTATCTATCTATCTATCTATCTATCTATCTATCTATCTATCTATCTATCTATCTATCTATCTATCTATCTATCTATCTATCTATCTATCTATCTATCTATCTATCTGTATACTCTGAGTGTG